TAGTCGTCGTACTTTTCTTCCCTACTTTCTAAATACCTACTTAAATACTCTCATATATATATATATATATATATATATATATAGATATAGCAGGGAAAATATCTCTATACCCTCGATTTTTAGGTACCCAAGGTTTTAAAAGATATTTTAAGACATAAAAATTGTAGATTTTATTTCTTCTAACCCAAACAAATTTAAAAAAGCATGTTTTTTTTTAAAGCCATTCTTCCCAAAGTTCTCTATTTCTCTTCCCCACCCTTTCTCTCTTTGTCTATCCACGGTAAGTATGAGGTGTTTGGATAAATGCATGAAGAGATAGAACTCCTCCCACTTACGCAATAAGTATGCGGAGGGAAAGTAAGTGTTTAGATAAACACATGAAGAGATATAGTTGTTTGGTGGTGAGAGGTTATTGAGGAGAGAAGTATTTGGATAAACATGAAAAGAGAGAGAAAGGTGTTTGGATAAATATGGGATAAAGAGGTTATCGAAGGAGAGAGGTGATTAGATAAACATGAAAAAAAAAATTGTTTGGATAAACATCAAAGAGAAAAATACTTGGTAGTGAGAGATTACTGCGAGGAGAGAGATAAGTGTTTAAATAAATATGAAAACAAGAGAAAGAAAGGGAAACAAGTAACAAGAAAAAAAAAGAGAGAATTTTGGAGTATATAAATGAAGAGAGAGGAAGGATTGGATTTAAAAAAAACATATCTTTCTCATATTTGTTTAGGTTGAAAAATAAGTTTATAGTGGTTAGAAGTCACAATGGGATGCATTTAATTACAGCCTTGTTCTCTCACCATGCTCTCACCTGCGGGCTGCGGGTTTAGAGAATGTTTTCTTATTTAGTCAGGACGATAGAGAAGAGTTAAATGAATCACTTTTGTGATAATGTTGAATAAATCATTTTACTGAACAGATTGTAGGATTAGATTCGATGATCTGAGTGCTAATGCGAGTAAAATGTCATCCCTTTTTATTACTGCGATTGCTTAATTATTCTTTTTCTTTGTTAATAGGAAGCGTCAGGTGTGGTAGAAGAGCTTCCAAGAGGTTGCTCTTCCTAGTCCTGTTGTTGCATGTTAAGTATGTTTCACATTGCGGTTCTAATGGTCTTCTTGTCCACTCATGGTACTATGCCTGTTACTGTGGGTTATGCACATTACTTAATTATACGATCGTCAACAATACAAACGATCATGCTAGTGGTGTTTGACCTAGTTCCTGCTTGGATTCTATCCTGTTTCTCCGGGGTCTTGGTTTTTCCCACTGCACTGGAATGAGTTTTCGGAGTTTGTTTTATGTGTTTGAATTCTGCGTGGATTATGGCCTTTACTGAGATAATTCCTGCCAGGACTCTTCCGTCTCACCGGAGTTGTTGGTTTTCTTCTATTGCATTAGACCAATTCCAAGTATGTTTTCACGTTTAATATTGAAGTTCTAGTGGTTTTCTTGTCCAGTAATAATATTGTGCCCTTTATTGTGGATTATACATATTACTTGATTATTTAATGCTCATAAAACTAACAGTTTTTAGCCTCTCCCCCCTCTCTTTTTTTGCTTTTTCTCTACTGTATTTTCTTCCCTTTTGTAGTCTTCATCTTCTTCGTCTTTATTCTTCATCGCCAGGCACAGGCACAACTACTGTTGTAATCTGAGCACCCAGCATGTGGGTTGCCGTCTATTTTCTGATCTAAATATGTAAGTAGCTTTGCTTTAATACAAGTTAACCTTTTATAATAATAAATAAATAAATAAATAAAACCTAACAGTCATGCTAGTGGTGTTTGAGCTAGTTCGTGCATAGATTGGTTTCTCCTACTTTGCTTTAAATATTTGAATTCTGTATTTCAAAGTATTGGGCATACTTTTAACATTTACATGGTCCAGTTAATATATCGTTCCTTGAATTGAAATGTCCTAAAATATGTGGTTTATTTTCCAATCAGATGTAGAACATGTATTTAATGCGCAAGAAACTAGCTGGGGCTTCCGATCATTTATCGCTCTCAGTGATCTCAGCCCAAAAACGGGGTTTATGATTAATGGCACAATTATTCTGGAATTAGAGGTGTCCCTTGGAGATGTCATCAATTACTCGACAGACAGAGGTAAAACGGAAACTGTGTCCAAGAGTGAGATGGAGCTCCAAGCCAAGGATGCCAAGATTAAGGAACTGGAGAAAGCAATGATGACTATTGAGACGGCAAAGGCGATGGTTAATGAAGAGCTCAAGGCTTGCAAACAAGAACTGGCAATAAAGGACACTGTAAAAAAGAAAACGAAGCATATGGTCTCATGTCCTCTTCTTTTTACACTTTCCACCTTGAAAAAACCTCGTCATAAAATGATCCTTTGCTTCCCTTTGCGTGTAGGCTCGTGAATTGGAGCCCCAAATCAGTAATTCCGAGATCGAGGAGCTGAAGAATGAGATAAAGAGTCTCCAAGATGCAAACCAGAAGGTTGAAGAAGAGCTAGAAATGGGGGACATGGTAAAACCTTGCGCTCGCTTCTGCCACCTTTAAAAACTCAATGCGAAATATTTATAGATATTTTTCAACTATTCAAACTCATGTATAATTTATAGATATTTCAAAATAAAATAAAAAGATATGGGAAATATTAAATATTGGATTTGTAATATGTATGTTGATAAGTTTTCCTTATATTTATATAAATGAAAATTATTAGAGAAATACTCTTATAAATATAGAAAATATGCCTTTATTTTCTCTTTGTGGAATTTTGGTGAAAATAAAGAAAATAAAATATGGTCACACTTTGCTCTAGGATCTTACTTCTTTTCATTGAATGGTTACATATGATTGTATATTTCATGAATATAGAAATAATCAATTTAATAAAAATAAATATTTATATCGAACATTATTTGATAAACTCGGATGATTTTCGTTAAGTATGTTACTACAAATAATATTCCAAATTTGTAAATTAAATAGACACTTGTTTCTCTATATTTTTTCATAATGCAAGTATTATAAATAGTATATTTGAAAAAATATAACAAATTATAATGAAAAGAATTTAAACATTGTTAAAAGCAATTCTAGAAGATAAATTCATACTTAAAATATACAGTATAGATAGGGTCGAACCCATATGAAGTAAATCACATTAGGTTTTCCTGAAACCTATATATAAAGTACAGAGAGAGAGAAATGAGAGAGAGGGAGAGAGAGATTCCCTTCCTTCTTTCTCTCTTAATAAAATCTGAGGTCTTTAGAAAAAAAACTTTAGAGATAGAGGATAGACGTTCAAAGGGATGAGGACGAGAGAACATGAAGGGGATCTAAAAATAAAGAAAAAAAATGTTGGATATGATGGGGTTTTAGGTTGGGGCGTGATAAGGCATAAGATTCAAAAAAATCTAGAAAACTGATTTTTTTTTTAAGTACTTTACAATAAAAACTTAAAACTTATTTGATCATCAAATGTATGGAATAATTTGATCATCAAATGTATAGAATATGATAAAGAAATTGATTCATCTTCTACGTACATTTATACCATCTAGATTACTACGTATCCATCTATTTCTTGGTATTTCTAATTAAGAGGTATTTTTAATTAACATAGGGAAATGGTGAAATCTTATATTAAGATAAGGCTCTCAACCATTCAAAAATAACATGAAAAATTCGTAAATCTCTTCCAAAATCTCGCAGTCTAAAGAATTATCTCAAATATTCCTTCTTTCTTTCTCACCTAAAATATATGTGCACCCTATTTTTCTCTTCCCCTAAAACTTTCAATCTAACAAATTACCTCAAATATTCCATATTTCTATCCTAGGCTTAATAATGCAGAATATATATTTCTATCCACGTCCCTCTCCCTCCAAACTCCAAATACTTGCTTAGTCTCTCGATTTCGTCATTTTCCGTTTTATAGATCTCTCTATGTAGATTTCGTTTTTTTCCACATCCAGTCTTAGTCTTTGGCGCCGTTATCATTACTGACGATGTTGCGCGTAAGAAGTTCTTCCTTATTTTCCATTCTATTCTTTTATGGCTCTCTGTAACTTTTCACGACCTTGTTTTTACTCTTTATCTATCAATAGAGATGAAACATCTCTGTAACTTTCACGACCTTGTTTTTCCTCTTTATCTATCAATAGAGATGAAACAGTGGCAGGAGTGGTTAAAGTGCTATGAAAATTAGTGCTTGACTTCAAATCTCTGCAACTTTAGTCCTAATCTCCTTGTTTCTGATCTATAGGCTTTTTGGTTTTCGCCATCGTAGTTTTTTTAACTTGTCTATAGCCACTGAAATTTCATAAGTTTTGTTTCTATGCAGGGGAAAGAGACCCAAAACTCAGCCTCTCAGACTATTACAGGTAACAAGGGCCAGACTGCTAATTCTGATTTATTTTTATTTTTTTTCCTTTATGGGTTTTTTATAGTGATTCAATGAGCTCTATCTTGTTGATAATAGTCCATTTGAGCGATTCTGAACTCAGCCGTATACCAGCCTTTCTAAAGTGATTCAGACTCGGTCTGAGTTACTCGGCCTCAGCCTATGGGCGAAGCCGAGTGCTATGTACGGAGTTCTATATATATATATATATATATATATTTATTTATTTATTTATTTATTATTTTATTCCTAGAATGTAAAAGTGACTTTGGGCTATTATGCGATCTAGGAAAATTATCACAATTATACGTCAATTTTTGTCTATTTTGACACCTCCACACCCTTGTTGCCTTTTTTGTTCAATTTTGAGTTTTTTTTACCCAAAAGCCAGGTTATAGTGCATTTTAAGTACAGTAAAAACTAACCCACCCACCTATGTTATACTTAAACACCTTGCCCACACCCTTGTTGCCTTTTTTGTTCAATTTTGAGTTTTTTTTTCCCAAAAGCCATGTTATATATAGTGCATTTTAAGTACAGTAAAAACTAACCCACCCACCTATGTTATACTTAACATTTAAGTACAGTAAAAACTAACTAACCCAATAAAAACTAACCAACCCACCCCTATAACATCACCTATGTTATACTTAACATTTTAAGTACAGTAAAAACTAACTAACCCAGTAAAAACTAACCAACCCACCCAATAAAACCTAACCAACCCACCCGTATAACATTTTAAGTACAGTAAAAAAACCCAAACCCATGTTATATCTTACCGTAAACCTAACTAAACTACCCAGGTGGTTTAATATTTTAAGTACAATAAAAACTAACTCATGTTATACAGTAAGTACAGTAAAAACTAACCAACCCTAACCAATCCACCCGTATAACATCACCTGCATTATACTTAACATTTTAAGTACAGTAAAACTAACTAACCCAGTAAAAACTAACCAACCCACCCGTATAACATTTTAAGTACAGTAAAAAACCCATGTTATATCTTACCGTAAACCTAACTATATTACCCAAGTGGTTTAACATTTTAACTACAATAAAAACTAACTCATGTTATACAACATTTTAACTACAATAAAAACTAACTCATGTTATACAGTAAGTACAGTAAAAACTAACTCTTTTTATATAAAACTAACCCTTGAAATGTCGTAAACCCTTTTCTCCTTCTTTTTATATTTACCCTCCCTTATAAACACTTCCTTCAACCCATCTCCTACGGCCCTTCAATCCCATCTAGACGGACTAAGAGATAAATATAAAAAGAATTATATAGATGAAAAAGATAAATATTAAAAAGAATTAAATAAAGAAAGAAAGATAAACCTAAAAAGAATTAGAGAGATGAAAGAGATAAATATTAAAAGATTAGTATCGAATCGTGTTGGTTGAGTTGATAAGAGAGTGAGTTGATAAGAGAGTTAGAGAGAGAAGGAGAGATAAATATTAAAAAGAATTAAAGAGAGAAATAAGAGATAAATATAAAAAGAATTCGATAGATGAAAAAGATAAATATTAAAAAAAATTAAAGAAAGATAAACATAAAAAGAATTAGAGAGATGAAAGAGATAAATATTAAAAAAAAATTAAAGAGAGAAAAAAAAAAAAGAGATAAATATAAAAAAGAATTAAAGATAGAAAAAAGATAAACATAGAATAGAGAGATAAATATAAAAAAAATTAAAAAGAGAAAAAAGATAAACATAAAAAGAATAGAGAGATGAAAAGATAAAAGAGATAAATATAAAAAAAATTAAAGAGAGAAAAAAAATAAACATAAAAAGAGAAAAGAGAAATGAAAGAGATAAATATAAACCTTAAAAAAAATAAGGTGCGTGCAGGGCCAGTCGGTTTTTCCTATATTAAGATAAGGCTCTCAACATTCAAAAAACAATTTCCTTTATTTAGATAAGGCTCTCAACGTGCAAAAAAAAATTTCCCATATTTAGATAAGGCTCTCAACATTCAAAAAACAATTTCTTACATTTAGATAAGGCTCTCAATATTCAAAAAAATTTACATGAAAAATTCTTATGTCTTCCAAAAATCTTGCAGTCTAAAGAAAATCCTCCCGGTGAGATGATTTTTTTTTATTACAAAAGGAGACCATTTTTTTAAAAAAAAAATAAAAAAATTAGAGTTCAAATCCTCGCGACGTGGTTATCTCACGTAGTGAGTTCAAATCTTCCCTATGAGATTATTTCTTTTTTTCATTAAAAAAATAGATATTTTTTATTTTTAAAATAAAAATTCAAATCCTCCCGACAAGATGATTTATTTTTTTATTAAAAAAAAGAGACCTTTTTTTTAAAAAAATATAGTTCAAATCCTCCTGGCGTCATAAATTCAAATCCTCCAGACGAGATGATTTATTTTTTTATTAAAAAAAGCGACATTTTTTATTTTTTAAAAATAAAAAATATTTAAAAACTACACAGTTACATAGTGACGTGCCTGGACCTCTTGACGAGTATATCCTTGTTCATGAGAAATATTGCCATCTTATTATATATAAGCCTTATTAAATTTCTTTTTAAAGCATGACCTGAACTCAGCCGAGTTCCTGGAACTAGATATAGTGACTCGCCTCGGCCAAAGTCCGAGTACCTTAGCCGAGTGAACTAGATGGAGTGACTCGCCTTCGTCTGAGTACCTTAGCCAAGTCAATTTTTTGGTCCATATTATGCTTATTTATACTTCCATTATTTCCTTGTTGTATGTTAGTTCCTTGGTCATAATTTTGCAGTATTGTTGAACTTTGTGTCGCCTTTTCTTGATCTTAGCTACCATTTCTGGTGTTGTAGTAGCGGAGATTATGGCAGGTAATAACACCTGTAGAGTTACTTGGAAGATTGAGAATTTCACATGCCTGGACTCCAAGCTATACTACTCTTACATATTCATGGTTGGAGGCTGCAAATGGTATGAAGTACTTTTTGTCTTTGTTGAATCTATTTTATCCATTGCATATAAGATTTTTAGAGTTTTGTCAAAGAATTCGATATCATAGTGTAATGGTATTGGCAAATTTATGCTATTTTCTTCTTTGTTGATAGATATTATTAAATAAATTCATTACTCTTGTCAAAAAAAAAATATTAATAATAGATATTATTAGCATATAATTTTAGATCCTAGAATTTTGTCAGATGAATTCAATGTTTTAGTTCAGTGGTTGTGGAAATACATGTTCTTTTCTTTGTGGTCTTATTCAGTGCACATATTGTAGATTTTAGACTTCTATCAAATATGTATGATACAATAATTTAATAATAGCGCAAGTTGATTTTTTTTTTTTCCTTGGCACATGTAGATGTGTTATGTGGTTTGATATGGTTTTGTCATGAGAGTGATCTTTGGATTGAAATGCTTTTTCTGAGATTATAATTGTCGGGAATTTGGATTTTGTAGGCAGCTGATGATATATCCAAAGGGGAAAAATGTGAAGTATTTGTCAGTGTACTTGAACGTGCCGGATGCCGCTAGTTTGCCTAATGGATGGAGCCGATATGCAGATTTCTGCTTCTGTATCTTAAACCAGACTAATGGCAAGGACACAAATAGAAAAGGTCGTATCCTATCCTTATTGCAGTACTGCTTCTGTGTTCAATGACATGGAATAAGAGCTATGATATTACATTGTTTATTGAATAGAGTGTGCGGAAATCACATGCAATTATGTATAATAGGGTCTGGTTATATGGTGGCAGTAGAAGTAGTGGCACAAAAAGCAGGATTTATGGTTTTCTTCAATTGATAATGATTTAACTCAATCTCATAGTGGGATGAGTTTAATTACCGGTTTGTTCTATCACCATGAACTTACCTGCAGGCTGCGCGTTTAGAGAGTGTTTTCTTATTTAATCAGAAAGAGAGAAGAGTTAAATGAGTTACTTACATGATAATGTTGAGTAAATTAATGAGTTACTTACATGATAATGTTGAGTAAATTATTTTACTGAACATGTTGTAGGATTAGATTCGAGAGTCTAAAGCTAATGAGAGTAAAATGTCTTTTTTTATAGTACTGCCATTGCTTAATTATTGTTTTCTCTATTGATAGGAAGTGTAACCATCATGCTAGTGGTGTTTGCTAGTGATGTTTGAACTAGTTCTTGCCTGGACTCTCTCTCTCTC